AACCTGACCGATGGACGAAGTGATAGCTATAACATGTCAATCTCCTGAAGCTGTGGTGCGAATGGGAAAGGCTACTGATTGCCCCATACCTCCCAAACCGGACCTGGGTCCCCAGGTCCCTGGGACCGCTGATTCCAAAAAGCCCCTACTCAGAGACACCCTCACATAGGAGCAGCAAAAGCAGGCCCTATGCCTGTTGAAGGCATTTCCCAGGACCTTCACGGCTTTACCAGGCCAAACCACCCTCGTCGGGCACACCATCCTGACAAAACCAGGAGAGGTAATCCACGAGGTGATGTGACCCCTCCCGCGTTGAATGTGGGAGGTGCTAGAGAAGGAGGTCCAGGTGATTGTGGACCTAAGGGTTATTGAACGTTCACAGAGCAAGTGGCACAACCCCCTAGTGCTCGTCCCAAAGCTGGAAAGGACCCTTTGCTTCTGCATCAATTTTCAGAAGGTCAATGCCTTTTTCAAATTCGATGCCTACCCAATGCCCCAGATTGACAAGCTGCTCAATTGACTAAGAGAGGCCCAGTACACCCTCAATCTCATCAAGAGTTATTGGCAAATCCCGCTTGATCCAGGATCAAGGGAAAAAAGAGCCTTTGTCACCTCAAGCAGACTCTATCAATTCATCTTGATGCCCTTTGGCCTTCATGGCACCCCTGAAACCTTCCAGCGACTAATGGGTCGCCTACTCCAGCCCCACACTGAGTATGCCACCACTTATCTCGACGACGTTGTGGTATAAAGTCGTCACTGGGAGGACTGTCTAAAGCATGTAGCAACTGTTCTGAGGGCTCTCCCCAGGGAGACGGATAAATACTAAATACTAAAAATAGGGGTGGGGTGAGGTGAGAGGTAATAGGCGCTGATATAAATACTACCATGGGATGATGCTTAAGGGATAGATACTCAAGAAATGCTCATTTACTTAAGGCTATCCCTGACAAAAGCATCTCTATCCCTCCCTTCCTCTGGTACACTTGCTGCTCAGGCTAAGATGTGGCTGAAGGTCTTTGCAGGTCTTTTAGTTTTTGCTGGTCAGGCATGATTAGCTACATTGGTTTCAGTCTCACGGTTAGCCAACCTTTTCATCTTGGCCTGACAGCCCATCATTACTTGGGGAGTGGGTGGATGTGCACATGACAAATCAGCACATTCTATATCAGCATCCTCTAGCCCAGCATGCTAACAGATTAGCTAATAAACTTTCTCAACTGTTGACACTTCAAAAAAAAGTCAGAGAAACACCCATGGAACCAGAATACAGGAAAGACACAGATGTGATACCATTCTCTCTCTCTCTCTCTCTCTCTCTCTTTTATTTTGGTTTTTGGAGAGAGGGAAGAAAGTAGATCCTGGTAATAACTGCTGAGTAAGCCTAAAGTTTATCTGTAGTTCTATGAGAAATAAGCAGCATGAACTTCTCAAAAAACAACAGTGCCAGACACATCGGATCACTTTCTTAACAGAATTATACAATTAGAGGAAAAAGGTCATGCACTCAGTATAATAAATCTGGGTTTCAGTAAAGCATTTTATAAATTGTTTCATGAAATCACACTTGAAAAATCAAAATTCAAACTGGTGTGAACAGGATACTGCCATGGAGACTGGTCATTGTCCAAAGAATCTCATACAAGAGGTTTTGCTATCTGACATATCAAATTCTGGAGAGGTGTCCAATGTCATATTGTTAGGTTTGGTATCAGGCTTGGTCTTAACACCTTCATGCAATGGCTGGCAAATTTCACTGTCAATCTGTTTATCCCCTAACAATGAATGAAGAATCTATCTTTATATGATTATTGGAAGGGTGTAAGTGCTAAGCACCATATTCTTATCTATATTACACCAGTAAAAATAATTCCACTGAGTTAATGGAAAAGCCCCTACCACTACAAGACACAGATCCAGGTAGCTCAGTCGCACCTTTTGGGCTTGCCTCTTCCTGGACCAGAAGAGAATTCACACCATATTGGAGTAAGGGTCTGGCTTAGCCAGTCAGGACAGATCTAATCTTGCAACCCTTGGCTGTGGCCAGCTTGGCAAGGTTAAAAAAAAAATTTCTGACCACCTTGATCTCATTAATAGTTAGCTGTGATTCCCAGACGTCTTAATTGACTCGTGTTATCTGTCTTCAAGCAGCTGAATTACAGCCCAGAGACAGAAGGTACATTTTCACAACTCTTGGTGTGCTTGCCTCTCACATTTTATATATTTGTTTCTTTTTGGAGAAGGAACAGGAAAGGATTTTAATAGACCATAAGAACTGAGAGCCACCACCTACAAGAACAATTTCTATCATTTAAAACTTTCAAGCAAGGATTGTTCTCTTTAAACACTTGAACATTGTCCTCTATTTTCTCCCTTTGTACAGTCTTTTTAAAGAGTTATTATTCATGAACATTATTGTTTCATGTGAGCACTAAATAAGGGTTTTAGCATCTATTAATTGCAAAGTCCTCAACAGTTCAAATGCCTCTTAATGTTCTGGCAATAACTATAAGGTACAGATGATAACCTCTTAAATACCCAGGCAGTCCTTACAATACTGTCTCTCTTTTATTATTAACATGAATATCGGCCAGACCCTTCAAAGGGACATGATTCAGACCCTAGAGGAAGGTCACAAGAAAATTACCCAACTGTGAATTTTTGATATGTGATTGAGATATGACTGGAGTAAATTCTCCTTCAAATTCTGCTTCACTTTCTCCATCTTCAGCACTACTCCATATCATAGAAACTACCAAACTGGCTCAGATCTGTTGACCAATCTTGTGTCCCATCTCTGAAAGTGGCCAACATTCCATGCTGCAGAGGAGGAGCAAAAACTGATGCAGTAGGTGTGCCATACTGTCTGGAGTGAGCAAGAATACCAACCTCAGGGCAGATCATTACAAACCAGGGCACAAATCCCACACCGATTGTGAGTTCTATCATTTGATTTCACAACCAAGTAACAAGTGTAAACTCCTCAGGCACTATACAGTCTTAACTTAGAGCCACAGACAGTCCCCTTGGGCATTCTGATCTATCTTGCCACCCAGGCAAGCTTAACTCTGTGATAGATTGTCTCTTTTACACAAAAGATCACAAAATATTCAGGTTACTCCCAGTCCCAAAGGACCAGTCACTTACCCCAGGTCAATTTGCACCCTAGATCTCACACCAAAGACATGGCTTGTAGCCAATCCTGTAACAAGCTAACTAAAGGTTTGTTAACTAGGAAAAAGAAGTGAGAGTTATTTACAAGGTTAAAGCAGGTAAGCATACACACGCAAATGAGACACAATCTTAAATTCAAAAGTTAACAGAAGCTTATATAATAAGCAAGCTTTTAGGTCGTTTGGGGCTAACCCAAGCCAAGCAGCTTGGGGATCTCTTGCTAATGTTTACGAATCTTTGTCCCTCAGAGTCCAGACAGCATAAAGAGACCCTAATGTCTTCTGGTCACCTCAGGGATTTATTATCTCCACCTCCATAGAGCCCAAGCTGATAGGACAATCACTTCGGCACATGGGTGGGTGGTGGGGGAGAATCAACAAAGTCTTTGTTCCACAGTGGGCCGTTGTGGAACAATGGTCCTTCCTGATAGCCAGGAGATAGTACCTCCTCTGAAAAACCAGTGTTTTGCATTAGGTGAAGTTTTTTTTCTATTTAGTTAGTTAACATAGGTTCAGAACAAACATTTTACAGTTATGGAGCAAAGACTGAAGTATCACCTTGTATAGCATGGGCTACAGATGTAGTAAGTAGGATTAATACATGCAGCATCCTACAAGCATTTCGTAAAGTCTAAACACTTCACACATTCTTTTTACACTAATATCTATTTGAACTATACTAACCCACAGGTAAGCCAGACTGGTTTCCAGCTATGCACTTGTTAGTGTTCAGTGAGGCCTGGGCCATTGGCATAGTCTGTCAGCGTCACAAGGCGGATGTTGGCTATTGTCTCCCAGGAAGGTTTCCTCCTAATCCCTAATAAGAAGAGACTGGTTTAAATTCTGAAGCATGAGGTTTTTATAGCCGTTCCAAAATTTGTTAGCTGGAGTCGAAGAGAGATTGGACACTTTTATATGGATAAACAATATCCAGCATTATAGTTAAGCTAAAGTCTTGGCCCCAATGTCCTGTAACAATGACCTCCCACCAAGAGATCAAGTCCCTGCCCTTTTTCCCCGCCCCCAAAGTGAAATTGCCTCTCAATCTCCACTTGTGTCCCCAGAGCTCCAAAATCTTGCAATTGCTAGCCTACATGGCAGTGGAGGTGTTTATGCACTCTGGCAGGCTCTAGTCCTGTCATTCGCTGCTGGGGCAATACTCAAAGCCTTCTGTGTTGTGTCATGACTACTGTTCCTTTATAAGTAGGCAGCAGTCAGAAAACGAACGGGTTCTGGATCTCTGGGGGACTTGAGTGGTGCCACAGCAGGTAAACAGCAGGATGGTGGGACAAAGTTTTATTTACTTATGTTCTTTTTAATAATTCATTGAGGGGGAGAAGGGAAGATACCTGCCCCAACGCTGTTTTGCTGGTGGACTTTACCACACGAACACCACAGGGGCAGGTCTGCTGGGTATGAAGATGTCATTTTTCAGTCACTTTTTCAAAGCAGATACACATTTTAATGAGCGCCATTTTGGATCATTAGTACCAGACATGCTGCTGGAATCCCTCTTTGGGGCATGGAAGTATACTGAGAAGCCATTTTCTGTATTCCATTCCAGACAATGTCAATATCAGCTGCTTAGCACAGAGCTTCCCCATGGCTCACATGGGAGGTTATGATATGTGCTAAGGCTCTTTTCCATATTGCTTTAGACGGAGCTAATGTATTATCCTTTTTAAATGCCATGGAAGATTTTCACAGCAAGGTGCTTTATAAATGAGCTTATATTATATTGTATTAGATGACCTGCTTATGCCAGATTGCTGCCAGAATGAAAGCAGACTTTACTTGTTAAACACCATTTTTTTAAATCTTCTTTAGGATGGATTTATAGACTTTTTGGAGTTTATAGCTGCAATAAATTTGGTTATACGAGGGAAAATCGACCAAAAACTGAAATGGTATTTTAAGCTGTATGATGCTGATGGCAACGGAACCATTGACAAAAAAGAACTCCTAAGCATATTCATGGTAAGCAAGTTATATATAGTAGCAAGTTCATTTAACATAGCAAATTGCCTTTGGTGGAGTGATTTGCCCTGTAGCATAAATGATTCAACTACCGTTTACCAAATGTTTCTGGTTGGAAATGTTCTCGCCATTGTTTATACTTGTTGAGGTACATGTATCTGAGTATTTTATTTCAAGCCTCATCGTACAGGTGTATCGCTTGAGTCAAAGAGAAATACTATAAATCAGTTACTTACTGTGGAGAGATTATTTTGGTAAACTACACTATACAGAAGAACAGACCTGTACCAGCATAATGAATAGAGCTCATCAACATTTTCATAGAACAATGGCCTCTTCTCAAGCTAAACTTTTTACACACAAAAAATGATGCTATCGCAATTTCCCAATTTTTGTTAAATTTTCCACAATATCAACTTTTATTGAAATAATATTCAAAACCGTTACATTGGTTTAAAAACCCAATTATCGGTAAGCAAATCCAGTTTTGGTAAATTTAATGAAATTTTGTGGAAGAATCTCAAAACTATTGTGATATTTTTATAAAAATTCAGAAAATTTCATGGAACCAAACAATTTCAAAATTATTTGCAAAATCATTTCCCCATTCAACCAACTCTGATTCATAATAATTTGCATTTAAATAGTTCCTTTCAATTAAAATGCCTGAAGGTGCTTTGAAAACTTATGGAACTGTCTTAAAAACAAATCAAAAGTATAGGAGCACTCTTTACAAACAGGTAGGACAAGTTTCTTGCTCCAAAGAGCATACAATATAAATGAAGACTCAACATGAGTCTTCTCCTGATTCATTGGTGCTGCCACTTAGTGGCTGGTATCTTTCAGAAGAGCTGAGACTCTTTTAAGGGCTACTACCAGAAAGGGGAGATGTGGTAGCTCGGTTAGCCATATGTTGGCAAGATGAAACTTGCTGGAGCTCATACTTCTAAGCTGCTCTGAAGAGAGGGAGAGGAGAGGCTGGCAGGCCCAGATTACTCACTGGTTCCATGTTGAACCTTACGCTTCTCTAATAGAGGTGTTACACCTCTTGTGTGCTGGGGAAACTAAGGTGCAGACTCTGTGAGTTGGCCTTTATCTAACCAGGGAAATTGCAATGGTTTAAATTAAACTCATTTTTAAACTGAGAGTTAAAGACAGCGCAGCCCCAGGTGTGGACATTCTTATTTCAGTTTGAATGTCTTACTTTAGCTTAACAATCCAGTTGCCAATTGATGTAACATAAACCAAAATAAATCACTTATGCCAAATAAGATTGATGCAAACCAGTATGTGGACAGCTTAACGATACCACTCACTTTGTGCAACAATAACCAAAGTCTTCGTTACACAGAAAAGCCGAACCAGTGTAAACCTAAGATGTGAATGTAAACTGATAAAGTCCTGCTCCCTTGCTGTAACCACTAAACCACACTTAACTGTGATAGGGTGTACTACTTTCTACCCAAAGCTTCAGTAGGTTCATGTAGAATGCTAAAAATGGATGTAATTTGGAGTAAGATCAGATGAACGCAGACTAACTCATGTAGCTATTCTTAAAGACTGGCTATTAATTGAAGTATTGCCCATAAAATAGCTCAAGGCAAGGACAGTCATGGTCAGATTCCCACAGCAGATGCTGGATACGATACACTTTAAATTTTACATATTAAGATAAAAGTAATAATAAACTCCTGATTTTTCTGTACCATTAGGAGTGTGGCAATATATATATCCATAGCTGGTTATATCACACAGCTAATTTGTTGAGCATATATATTTAATGAGTCTGTTGGCATCCTTTACAATGAAAGATAGGCTTCCTGATCCATACTTGGTGGCTTTAGCCCCTTGATACAGAGGCCCACCTTTTTGATTGATAGCATTTTACTTAGCCTGAGGTGTTGACTTGTCATCTCTGTTGCTGGATTGAATCTTGGGTGGCAGTGATTAGAGAGGAACACTAATCTTTCTACTTCATGATCAGCAAATATTTGTCCAATTACTTTTTTTTTTGTTTGCAAAAATATTCATAGAAAACAAGTCTCACACATACTCCTGTGACTGCATGCAAATTTATGGGCATTTTGAAATGCCTGAGTCCTCTTTGCCTCTTCATAAGTGCCATCCAGTCAGTGAAGAGATGTACATGACCAATCACAAACAAATGATAATAGCTAATTGTTACAAATAACCCATACACTGAAATATGTTCAGATACAATGCTTGGGATTTTTAGATTTTATTATTATTTATAAATTTGCAGGAGTCAATTGGGTTAAAATGTTCAACAAAATCTCTTTGGAGATGATTTAGGATGACCAGAAGTCCCAGTTGTATAGGGACAGTCCCAATATTTGGGGCTTTGTCTTATATCAGCGCCTATTACCTCTCACCTCACCCCACCCCTATTTTTCATATGTGCCAGCTGGTCACCCTATTTAGGAACAGAAAAAAACGGCTAAAATCATAGCCTCAGTTCTCTTCTACCAGTGGATCAACAGCTACAGTAGTAACTTTAAGGCCTGATTCAGCAGATCCCTTATGCATTTGCTAAGTGCATTGTGGAACTGGAGTCTTAAGCATTATTAGTCGGCAGTACTTCTACATCACGTCACAACTGGCACTAAATGACAATCTTAGCGGAGAAGACTGTGACCGAATGGGACACCAATTTGCATTTTCACTCCTAGAGGTAAGTCCCTCCACCAACAAGAAAGTGGTAGAGAAGCATCTGTTTAACTCAGCCAGAGGATAAGTAAAGGCCTTCAATATCCAGTCTGACATTTATTTGTGATTACTGAAAAAAATACATTTTTTTCAACAGAAAAGTTACATACATTTTCTCACCATGTTCATTCCACTGTGTAAAAAATAGTTGTTTTTAAAATTGCACGGAACAGTATGCATCGCCCAAACCCATAGAATTCTCTAGGGCAGGATACATGTGCTGCTGTAGAATCTAAAGTGTGTTTCAGAACTGAGGTGTCACATGGTTTGAGAAGACCTTTTTAATGGTATGTAAATTAAGTCTATAATCCTTCAGGCTCTGTTATGATAATTAAATTTCCAATCCTCATGACTGAAGATTTACTTGAATTCATAGCTGTTTCTTTTAGTGGCTCAAGTGGATTGGTGTGCTGATATGTCACAGCCAAGTGCCTTAGTTGCTGCCACGCCGTTTCTTAGTTTGAGGGAGCAAACCCTGAAAACGCTTCCTTTATTTGTGTTTTCAGGCTATCCAGGCTATTAATGGCAACCAGAGTATGACTCCTGAAGAGTTCACAAACATGGTATTTCAGAAGATAGATGTAAACAATGATGGTAAGAGTCTGTACCTCTTCACTTGACTTTGTCATTGTTTTTTCTGGGAGAAATATGGGGAATATTGAATATATATTGTGACAGAGTCGGGCCAGATAGCTACAGGAGAGTAATAGAAGGCAGATATATTAGCCCCAGGTTAAGTAGGTCCCTTTTCCCTGGGTAAGGTAACAGGGAAGGTTCCAGAACAATCAGGAACCTTCTGGAGACCATTAAGACAGGCTGATTAGAACACCTGCAGCCAATCAAGAAGCTGTTAGAATCAATTAAGGCAGGCTAATCAGGGCACCTGGGTTTAAAAAGGAGCTCACTTCAGTTTGTGGTGCCTGTGAGGAGCTGGGAGTAAGAGGCACTAGGAGCTGAGAGTGAGAACACGGACTGTTGGAGGACTGAGGAGTACAAGCATTATCAGACACCAGGAGGTAGGTCCTATGGTGAGAATAAAGAAGGTGTTGGGAGGAGGCCATGGGGAAGTAGCCCAGGGAGTTGTAGCTGTCACACAGCTGTTCCAGGAGGCACTCTAGACAGCTGCATTCCACAGGGCCCTGGGCTGGAACCCGGAGTAGAGGGCGGGCCTGGGTTCCCCCCAAACCTCCCAACTCCTGGTCAGACACAGGAGGAGTCGACCTGGACTATGAGTTCAGAAAAACGGCCTAGCTGAGGGCTGCCGTGAAGCTCCAAGGCGAGCAAATCCGCCAATAAGCGCAAGACCCACCAAGATAGAGGAGGAACTTTGTCACAATATGTACAAAAATATTGAAGTGATGAGTAGTAGTAGGCCTGATTCTTCTCTCATTTACATGCATGATTTAAACTGTTGTATCAACTAGAGTATCATCAGGCCCATTGACTTTCATGGAAGTAATGGCTGTAGGGTCCCCATATTGTTTTTTTCTAAAATGCTGTGCATCACAGGACAACATGGAATTAAAAATGCATTTGGAAACTAAAATCTTGATCCACCATTTGGAGTTGGGGCAAATGTTTATAATATGAAGTTGTCAAACCTCTTCATTATCTGGGCCACATCTTAATAGTGTCTTGTAGTCACATCTCCTGCCAGTGGTGATCATGAAGACCACATCTCCCTCCCATTCGCAATCACATAACATCTGTGTGACTATTACCACAATTGCTTACAAATCAGCAATATTAGGAAAATACTGTATAGCAAAGTCATGCCTTATCAGGTTTTTATTGTATAGCTATTGGTACCTAACGTTTACTTTCTAAAATAACCTGTGTGCAGTATATACGATCATAAATAGTATCCCCTTGGATGCACTTTTCCTGTCACTTGGCTCATCTTTTGTCAGAACTCAGATTCCAGGCTCCAAATGTCAATGTTCTGGACTCTACAATCAATCATATTGTTATGCTTAATTTTGTTTCTGTTTTGAATGTCTATTCATTACAAAAAATATGTATTTGAGCTAGACCTGCAACTAAAAATATAATATCCCTAGCCTGTTTCTATCAGTCAGGTGGCATGATGTGAATTCGAATGTGTTCTCAGGCAACCGCTCCTCATGATGCCCCCATGTTCCCTCCAACGTTAGTCCCTTCTCAGACAATGACAATGAATAAGCTGTAAGGGAACAGGGTTCCCCCAGCTTGAGAAGAGGAGCCATCTCTTTCCCGCCCTTCCCACCCCCCGATTTTAGCCAAGAAGGGAAGCTGTGCTCTCCCTGCATTTAATCCCTGTAGGACACAGAGAAATGTTGAATGATGCCTTTCCTCATATTAAAATAGGAATAATCCATGGTTGTGGGTTGATAATGAAAGCAGTTCTTATGCAGGCAAAATTCCTATTGAGTTCAGTGAGAGTTAAGCGTATGATTGCCTGGACTGACTGGCCCTCTGGAGTCCCAGCCAGTGGGGATCTCTTGATGTAACCCCCTATTCCCTTCCTCCCTCCTACTTATAATTAAAATATTCTCACCTTCAAATAGTTGAGTGTTCATACAACTGTTATAAACTTGGACAGGTTGCCTGGCGGTGGGGAGGAGGTAGTTCAGGGCAAACTGGTTGGGAGCAGAGAGAGGATTGATTTGAGCAGGCCAGTATGAAGGATGGGAAGTGCAGAAAGAGGGGAAAAGATGTAGCAAGTAGTGTGAAAAGGCAACAGCCAAAGGGTCCCACCTTGTAGAATACCCAAGCCAAGGGCAGGCTACAGGCAAGGGGATGAGAGGTAGCAGAAGTGTCTGGGACTGAAAAGGGGATCAACCCAGAGGAAGTGGGGCAGCATGAAAGAAGCCCAGGATACTGGCTCAGCTCCCATTTCACACATTGAATATATAATGATGGTGTGATGTACGGAGGAGGAGTGAAGACCATGCACAGGACTCCAACCCTCTGCCTCCCTGAAAGGCCCCCTTCTAGTGTGAGGCCCCCTGAATGGTAGTTTCTGCAGCCTGCCAGACCATGTTCTGCCAATGGGGGCCTTTTCACTTGATCATCAGCTTATTCATGAGGCTACCCAGTAATACAATGTAGACTATTCATGTAAGTCAAGGGTGGAAATGCTCTTTGCAGACTGTAGTATACTGAATATTTACCTTTATATACGGTTCTAGAGCAGACACTGACTAACTAAACTGCATCAACACACCTGAGACTGGCCTTTGACTTTGTTGCGGAAGGCTATGAGGGGAAATTTCATGTTTCTCCTGTTCCTGGTAGAAGGTGTACATTGGTTTTCAAAGATGTGTTTTAACTTCCAAGGCTTTATAGGATTATGGGGTCCCCCAAACAGCAGAGCTCCAAATGACCACTTCTGTTGCTTATAAGGATTTTCCTGATGAGATCACTAAGCACCACTGGGTTCTTTTACTGCACATGATAATGCAGTGGGTTCACTCTAGTGTGGCTATCTGAATACACAGTAAGAGTTATAACACAATGGACAGCATAATTCAGGATTCTGTTGCTTTAAAATCTAATGCCAACTGGTCAATTTTCAACAGTAGGGCTAGGGAGAGTAAATGAAGTGTAATCATGGAATTTTCAAAAAAGCCTAAGTGTTAGGAGCACGGGTCCCATTGAAAGTCAGTGAAACTTGTGGTCCCAAATCACTGGGAAAATCCTACACTGAATTCTTAAAATTCATTCCTATATTTCTGTTGTTAATGAAACTGATTTATGTACCAATTGGACTGTAATCAGTAACCCATAGCAAAAAGAATCTGTAAATAACATTGAAACCATACCAGGATTCGAGCCTAGTATTTTGGAGGAGGTGCTCCAGTGTTTCTGCTGATAGACAATCAGACTAAAAGTAAACTGTTTCTTCTGCGTTCTGATAGTTGCATCTCAACACTGTCTTTAAGTAATTCTGGTGTTCAGCACAGACTCTGGAAATCTGGAGCACTTCACATGAGTCTGTCATTATCTAATCAGCATTTGTGCTCTGAGTATCCAGTTACAACACAGGCTTCAAATACATCAGGACTAATTACTACAGCTGAAAATAGATGTCGCTGTGCAGCCGGCTAACTGTAAACACCATAGTTTGGAGGAGCTTGCCTGCATAAGTGTTATTATTTCCTTTATAGGGCTATGCGGTTAAGTTTCGCCTTTATGCAGCTTTCGCTAGTGGCCTTTTTCCACCCAGGAAATGCAGAGCATTCACAGCTGCCGTTGACTTCAGTGAGAGTTGTGGTTGATTAGCTCCTCTGTTAACAGACAAAAACTACCTATGATCTGATTTTCAGAGTTTGAAATAAAACAGGCAGGGTAGGCAATGCCAGTTCCATACTCCCAGTGATCTTTGTTCAGATCTTGAGTGAGACAGAACCGGAAAATAACAAGGGACCCAGCTCACAGAAAATAGCCATCCCTTGGGTGTTAATTTAGATGGATTCTATGGATCCAAAGAGTCAAAGGAGTTAACATATCTCAGTCACTGCCCAACATTAAACCATGTTAAACAAGATTCGGGGTTTGGTATACAGGCACCTCAGCTTGCCTAGTGCCATGGTAAACACATCATTAACAATCGTTTAACGTTTATTAAAGATACAGGAAAAAAAGGAAAAACAGTCCAAGCCTTTGAAGTGTGAAATATTAAGTAAGGCTTTCATTTCAACAACATCCCTTGTTCCCTTTCCCTTTAGCTATAGAAAGCTTTTAAAAGAAAACCCTTTGTTTGACAGTCTTTTAGATGGTATTAAAGATAGTAACAACTGCCCTTTTTGGGGAAAAGAGAAGTTAGTTGAAATCGACTGGAGTTGCCGTTGTGAAGTTGGATCCCATTTCCTGATAGACAAACACGCTAGAGGGGAGAGAAAAGAACAGCAAAGATAGAAAATGCAGCTTTTATCTCTGGTGTTGACTTTCACTTGCAACCTCACTTCTGGAAAAACACAGGCATGGCACATGGTCTGTTGAGCCACTCCAAGACCTGGCAAACCAGTACCTGTATCAGGATGCTAGGGCATTGCTTTTAGCTGCCTTTCTGGTCACAGGTTTACAGCGGTATTGCAAAATGGCCAGCTAAGCCAGACTCTTATTAGAGAGAAGGAAAAAGGAGAAGGATAGGAAAGAGAAGAAATAAGGTGTCGCAGGAAAAGGATAAACAAGGGGACTGGGGAGGAGGGAAAGTGACAGTCTTTCACAGTCCAGGTGTTTGGGATTTGACCAGAGTCAGTGGAGGTGGTGATGTCATCTTATTTTCTCTGAAGGCCCGGTCTGGTCGAGACATTTCTCTGGATCAGGTTGACAAATGCCCAATAGTATTACAGTAGATCCCGGGGTCCCTGGAGATGGTGGGAGTGTTAGCCATGATGGGTAAGCTCACTGCAGAGGTTGTCAGTAGACAGCTTCTTTTCTGCTTCTCTCCTAATTTACCTCCAAAAGTCTTTTCTTTTAAGGCTCCCAAAAGGGATTGATGGACAGAATAGCTCATCCTCTCGTTATTTTGTCCACCAATCAGGCCTAATTTCTGACACATCGGTTTTGATTCACTGATTTCCAGTCCCACATTTCTCTTGTTTACCAGGCATGATCTTGACACATTCCTTGTTATATCAGTAGGCCTTTTTGTTTGGACTAATTCCATCTTTCTGTTTCCCTTTTGCACCTTTTCCCATCAACATTTATTGTTATAGGTTATTGTGACATTTTATAAACTTTAATCCATTTTTCCACAGTGATGCTCACAAGTGGGGTAAATTTGTAAGCCCAATTATTACAACAGGGCTAAGAGGGATCTAATCACCTCTGGCCTCCAGTTTCTAAACTGTATTTTATTTCATTTTAGGGGAACTGACGTTAGAAGAGTTTATCAATGGTGTGGAAAGCGACGCGAGCCTCTTGGAACTGATTTCAAAAAGTTTTGACCTTTCCAATGTACTTAAGGTCATACAAAGTGGGAGGCGGCATAGCATCTGAGGTTTTCTGACCCTGAGTGGGGTATGTGATACCATGGATATTGCAGGGAAGATAATATTTAGTACTTTCACAGAGCTTTAAATCTTCCAAGCTTTGCATAGACAGTCATCGACGTCAAACTCCAGAAATAATTGTCACTTCAGAGATTTCACCCTTGACTCCATACCTTTCTTTCTTTCTTGTCAATGGATGTAGCAACCACTGAACATGAAACTTTATCCACACACAATAGTAAATCTATTTGTTGCAGTACTACCAGCCTCTCTGATCACTATCAACACCATTCTGAATAATGGATCAGCACTGACAACAGTACAAAAATTAACCTTTGCAGAAGACCTTGAGCTAATGTATTGCTTCTTTTAAGTACAGGTTGTTTAACCTGCAATTTACAATGTGGTGATAAACCATTAGATAGGATTGGCTTTATCTGGATCAATCAAGAATGAAGCATGGTTTGTACTAACTTAACATTTGCACTAATCAGTGCTTAAAATAGGAGTGGATTATCCGCAAAACACCTCAATCAGCTTACTGTGCCCGAGATAAACATCCATTTGGAAAAGCTGTTCTCGGTTTTATTACATCTGTAAATTAAAATGACTTAATGCTTTGATATTCAATGGGGGGCTTATTAAACCTAGTTTTCTTCTCACCTTAATCTTAATGCAACCATTAATCAATTCATTAGCCTTTGGAACTGTTGAGTTACATGGCTCTTTATGGAGTAATTATTAAAAAGTCCAGAAGACAGTTTAAAAAAACCCACAATTTTACTTTATAAATAATAAGATTAGTTGCCTGAGCTGAAAAGAAACTTCATGAGCAGACTGCAGAGGGAGAATTATAGTTCTCTCTGGCTCCATTGAGGATTGAGTCTCTCTCAAATCTGCAACAGGTTATCAAATTACAAGCATTATATTATAAGAATAAATTCTCATTGGCTGATCATACCATAGGGTATGATCACACTGGTGCTAGATGCTTTTGAAAGCACCAGCTTCATGCACATTAATGCTTGCATGGGCTATTGCACCACATAGATGAACAAAAATTTTTAAGACTTGAAAATGAAAGTGTTTTTCTCCCAAATTCACTTCAAATCTGTGTCCAATTGCACATGATATGTGCCACATCATCTGTAATTATTCTACCAGTTGCTGGTTTGATCAATAAAGCAGACAACCAGCAACACTTGACATTATAAACAGTCCTGACATTATAGCTTTGACATTTAAATCTTTTATTTCCCTTCCAAAAAATGGAATGATAAATGAGACTGCTGGTGGGTTAGAACTTTAAAATCTTCTATTTATTCATTATTGACACATTACTATGTCAACATCAGTATCATTTTTTTTCAACTTAAGGACTAAGAGTGAGCTTGAAAAAAATGATAAGGAATACTTCTGTTTTAGACTCTTTTGTGGGCATTTATAATTCAAAATGGGCTTTGATTTAACACACAAAGTTCAGTGTTAATAGTGTTATTTAGTCAATTTTAGTACAATGAAATTGTTAGGTTTTAGCCTATTAAACAAGTGAACTAATTATTTTTTAAAACTGATTACTACACATCTATTATGACTTTTTTCATAAGGGGTTTTTACTATGCAGAGATGTTTTTTTTAATTGCCTAACTATTGTATCTAACTGTAATGACATGATAGAAATGACCAGGTCACAAGGAGTGTTATGGTCTATGAAAGGAATAATGAACATGAGAAATCTTTGTTGACTCTTTGTTAAACTATGGGCAGATCTACTCTTAGGCCATGTCTACACTTTCAAGCTTACAGTGGCACAGCTGTACTGATTTTTCACACCCCTGAGTGAACAAAGTTTTGCCGACATAAGTGCTAGTGTAGACATGGCCTTAGACGCTGCAGCTATGCCACTGTAGCACTTCAGTGGAGTTGCTACTTATATTGATGGGAGGCCTTCTCCTGTTGGTGTCAGTACTCTACTTCCCCGTGAGGCGGTATCTGTGTTGAAAGGAAAAGTCCTCCCCTTGCCATAACACTGTCCACACTAGGAGGTTGGTGGGTTTAATTGCATTGCTCAAGGGTATGGATTTTTTACACGCTTGGGTGAAGTAGTTATACCAATCTAATTTCCCTGTCTAAACCAGGCCTAATACTTAAAGGAGGAACTGAAATGCCAAAATATCATACATTAAGATTATTACTATTTTTATATTTGTATTACGGTAACATCTCGGAGCCCGAGCCAGAACCCCATTGTATTAGGTGCTGTATAAATACTAAAGGACTGTTTAGCAGAAACCCAGGTCATTAAGAAACAATTAGTCTCTTTCTGCTGTGCCTCAATATTGCAGCACATTTGCCATCTCAAAATTTTGCTCATCATTGGTCTCTGCATTAGTTCTTCATATGTTTGGTCATGTACAAGGGTTTTTATGTATATACACATATATAATTTTTTCTTAGTTGCTTAAGATATATTTCCTTTAGCTATCTGAGGAGACAATTTGATGTACAGGTGCACTATGAAACAAATGCATTATGGCTACAGGTTTACCATTGATTCCACCCCTTTGAATTCGTCACCTGCTCATCTAGCATTTGCAATGAAATTGGGTGACATCTGGAAAGTGTGTCAATTTTGACAGCCTAAAGGTTTGCTCAGAGCCAAATTACAACAACAGGTCAAGACCCTCGGACCCACCTGTAATGGATGTGGAGCTGTACTGTAATAATCTATGAATCGCGTATGTTGACCTGGTTATTGGAATGTTTACAGTATGGATATAATGGTTTCATCAAAGGAGCAATGCAAGGAAAAACTAGCAGGAAGCCAATGTATAGCTCAAGGTAAGCCACCTCTCAGCAAACGCTTGAGAGTTGTTACAGGACCATGTCAGAGGCATTTGGCTCGATCTCCTGCTGAGCCTACCAGACTGATTTTGTCCCAACTCCTCACTACACAGAAGCACAAAAGGATTATAGCAGTTTATAAAGGAATACCCTCTTCAAGAGAGGGGGAAATTTTGGGGGGGGAACCAGGCAAAGACTGACACCTGCAGGGGACATCTGAAAAAATGAGGCCTATCTATGTAACCATCAGAGTATGGTAGGGACTTGGGTAAGATAGATGTGTGTATAGACTATTTGTAGTTTTTAAATCCTTTTGCTCTTTTTGAGTTTTCCTATTGTTAAAATAAACAAAATAAGACAGCTGTCTGGTAACTATTCATCACTGGCCATATACTCCTGCAGGGAAGAATTGCATGTGCCAAACGCAGTCGTACCTGTTGGTAAACACAGTTGCGACACAAGGTGATGAAGCCCAGGACGCTGTCTGAGACTGTCTACACTACCTATGTTAGGTCAACTTACAGCCACCGCATTAATTACTGTGGTAGCTGATGTCCACGCTCCCCTCTTTCTGTCGGTGGTGTGCTTCCACTGACTGAAAAGAGGCATTGTGGGGGGCTGAGAACCAGGACTCTAAGCTCCATGCAGCTCCACGCCGGGAGCCCAGCTGCCCCCTGGGGCTTTTCACCTTCCTGCTCCAGCCTGGGGCAGCAGCCTAGGGCTTCTCACAGCCGGCATGGAGATCCATACCTGGAGTCTGGTCACCTACTGTGCTGCCAATGGTAAACCGGGATCGCATGGGGCAGCGGGGCTCCCGACGGGGAGTGGGGAGCCCAGACAGCAGCCCACACTGGGAGCCTGGGTGGCAGCCAAGCGCCAGAGCCATGAAATTGACAAGCATGACAGTCAACAGCGGATGTAAGGAACACAGTGTCTACACAGACAGTGCGTTGCCCTAACTACATCGACATAAGAGCTGCACCTCTCCTTGAGGTAGTTTTATTATGTCAGCATAGCAGGGGAGTTACATCAGCAGGAGAAGCATTTCTGTGTGTGCAGTTCCACTGTTTTGTCAACAAAAGCTGATTTTTGTCGATAAAACTGTGTAGCACTTAGAGTGGGACAATTGCACAATTTCTCTCTGAAATAGGTAGATATGAGACCTGAGAGGGAACAGAGGTACAACCAGCCGTGTAACCATGTGTCACCAGCTTGTATGCCCAACTCAGAGGTGAGGGTTCCATGTGCATGAAGCAATTGCATGACTAAGTCCTAGATATATTTTCTAGGGATTGGCAAACTCCACCTATGCTTCTAAGCCTTCACTGAGCAGACAGTATAACTGTGGCTTTTTGGGTAGCTTTGCTCTCTGCAAATGAGCTTTTTTAGTGTTAAAATGCTTTCATGTGTATATGCTCTTCTTATTCCATTTGGGGAACAACCAAAGTAATCAGTGTTACAATCCCCCTTTCTTAACTAATTTATAAATCCTGTCAATTACTATCTTTTAAAATGTTCTTCTCACAATAACTAAATTTAGTGAGAACCTAACAGCTAATTTTGCCTCTGAGAGTCTAGGAAGCAAGGCTACAATGAAATTGCCTTTTTCTAGAGTTAAGCATTTGCATGTTCATTAAAGTGGCATTCCTACACCTGATGGTAAATCCACACATCCCCAAAGAGGTAGGAAGGAAATTTGATGTTATGTGCAAGAGATGTAACTGCTCCATTTCATTTTTGACCTGATGCATGATGGGTTCTATCATACAGGTCAACTAGCAGCTAAATGTTAAAAACTTTTTGTGTGGGTGACTGCATGCACCCACACAAAACCAGTGGAAATTTGTTGATATGCTTAAGGAAGCAGAAGCTCATAGAATTGGCCCTGGACTGACCAAGTGGAAAGGTTTAAAAGACAATTGAATTATCAGAAAAAGAGAGCCAGAAAGTAACTTGTTATGCACTATAGGATGTGAGTAGTTTGCACAGTATAAATTGTCAGCTTTGAAGTATATTTCAGAAGAGTTGAACCAAGCATGCCAGATCTTGTTTTTACAAATGCTCTATTGACTTTCTCTTATACAAAAAACAAACACACACAGGGATGATTCAGATTTGAATTCTATTCTATCCAGGCTATCAAAGGTCAAGAGTGATAGGGGATGGTGGTGTCAGGTAAATATTTGCTTCTTTTCGATCTATATTTTTGAGTGCTTGCAATTTAAGGAACATGAGCTAAGGAATACATGGTAAATTTTTAAACTAACTGGATTATCTAGAAATATCCCATGACGGGGAACAGAAGCTCTGCTTGCTTTCCAGAAAGCTGGGAATTAATGTCATGCTTAAACTTTGCATACGTGTACCAGTTTGTGGCATTGAAAGCCTAATCTGGTTCTGAGGAACTAAAGGAACCTCTACAATAACTGCTACTTGCCAGAAAGAGGAAGGGTCTCTGAGGATATGTTTACACTTAAAATGCTCCAGCTGTACCAGTGTAGTGCTTCAGCATAGACCCTATATCAACAGGGTGTTTTCCTATCACTGTAGTTAATCCACCTCCCCGAGAGGTGGTAGCTAGGTGGACTGAAGAATTCTTCTGTCGACTTAGCACCATCTACTCTGGGAGGTAGGTCAGCATAGCTATGTTCTCAGGGGTGTGAGACCAGCCCTGAGCCTGCAGAACTGACTGTGTAACAGGGCTGAATTAAAACCCAAGACAGGATTTCTCAGTATGCCGTTCAGCTGTGTAAAACATTGGTTTTGTTTTTCAAGCTATAATCAATGCACTCCACAAACCTCAAAAACATAACCTGAAGGAAGAAATTTGCTGAATGACTTTTTTTTAAACTAAGCCAGCTGATCCACTTCATCAACTTGCAGATCCATTTTAATTAAAAATAAAAAGTTTGTTCTTGCATGCCCTCATTCAGAGAAACAAACCAGAATCATGCTCTCTAACACCATCTACAGAAGCATTTGAAAATCAAACATCACTCAAACGTATCTCATGCTGAGCTTGGCTACCTAATGTAGATGGGACCTAACTGTGATGCTGGTAAACCAAATGCCAGCTCTGGCCAAGGCTGTAGGCATTAGCTAAGAACTGACAAACTCATAGTTCAAAATAGGTATTAGTCTTATAAGAATATAGTTAGTGTTTAGATCTATTAAATGTTTGTAAGTTGCAGCATGCATTAATTTCACTTGTAATGTCTGTATTCCGTGCTATAAGGAAATATGTAAGTTTTGCTTTATAACTTTGAAAATGTTTGTTCTGAGCTCGTGAACCCAGGTTGAAAACCACTGATCTAGGGTACCAATTGATCTGGGGGAAGTGACTGGTCTCTTGAGACTTGAAGAAACCTGAATATTGTGTAATTTTTGGTACAAGTGACCATTTATCACTCATAGAATCATAGAATATCAGGGTTGGAAGGGACCCCAGAAGGTCATCTAGTCCAACCCCCTGCTCAAAGCAGTCCAGTCCCCTGCTCAAACTCAGTCCAGTTTGTCTGGGTGGCAAGATAGTCTGGAGGCTCTAAGGGTGACTGTCTGTGACTATATGGTAAAACTGTCATAGTGATTCAGGAGTTCACATTTGTTACTGGCTTGGTGACCTGTAAGCATAGAAAACACTACCAATTTGGGGTATGTGTCCAGTTTGGACAGTCTGCTCTGAGGTAGGCACTCATGGACCTGAGCCACTCCATATAGCATGACACTAATCATGTCAAGATAGTGTTCAAAAACTGTTTTAGCAGGAGAGCACCAGCTAGGAAGAGTCAAGGCTACAACATAGATTGGACACTGTTCTAATAATGATTGTCCTAGCTCACAATGTCTGGTAAAACTGTATTAGAAATAAAGCTGGTCACAAAATTAAAAATAAATATATTTGCAATAATTTTGAAGTTATTCATTTTAAAGTGTTTGAAATGGAACTATTTTAAAATGTAAAATGTCTTAAATTTTTACCAGAATGGTTAATGAAATCCAGGTTTTGGTCACCTAAAATTTTCTAAAACCATTGCAGCAATATTTTTGATGAAAAAAGCTTTCCAAAAATAAAAACACTACGTTTTTCCATGAAAAACAAACAAAATCATTTTCAGAAAAGGCCACTGATCGTCTCTCATTGGAAAACAGTCCTAGCATGAATATGGCTTTAAAAGTCTACATTGATAAGCCTAGTAGAGGTGAGATTCTGAGCGGGCCCTATGCAAACTAACAAATGGGAGGGCCTATCTCCCCTTGGGACTAGGCACTTCTTTCCATGGCCTAGCCAAGCCATGTCATCTTTGCCAGACTTTCAAGGTCTGGCAGCTTCTGGTGACCTAGGAAGCCAAGAAAGGTGCCACAAATGGTGTCTGGGGAAATGGACAGTTAGGGAATTCTTTCTGTTGTTGGGACCACTGAGTGGGGAATCAAAACTCTGGCTTATGAATGAAGGGTGTGTTTGGTTGTGCAAGGCCCCTGGAAGAGTGGGGCCATATGCTTTAGGACTAAGGCATGCTTAGGCTGACAGCCACTCCTTGTGCAAATGAAAGGGTGTGTTTCTGGTGTGACATCATGGCAGTTGGTACCTCTTATCAGTCCTAGTCCTCCAGATCACACAGAACTAGGAGGGTGATAAGGGTATTTGTACAAAAACATTTACGCTTTAACATCTGTTTCTCTTCCAAATATGTGCCTGGGGTTGATAATGGCATAGCAGATGCATTGTCTTATTTTCAGATGGACAGATTTTGGGCACTGGTGACAAGAGCCAACAAGGAAGCCGAATAGATGCCGCTAGCAGTGTGGAACTTGGCGTAAGATGGCTGTCAGTTTGGCACAGAGATTGGTGGCTCTATGAGAGAAGTTTTAGTGATTTTGTTCAATTTTAGAAGCTGGAGGGCCTGTCACGGATATTGCGGTTACAGAGGACTGGGTGCTGCAGTACATGGTATCATTAGCAACCTGGCAACGGGTGTCATCAATCGTCTCCACTCACCTATCAGACCTTATGTTTGTCAGTAGGCTGAATGGTGACCCAGATCCTTGTAGCAGGTTTTCAGTTCATAGGTTTCTAGCAAAGTGGTCTTGAAGCACCAACCCTAGGCAGGATACATGGCATCCCGTTGCTGTCAATATGCTTAGGGATCTGGTGTGAAGCCTAGAGTCCATATGTTGTTGTGGAAAACAAAGGGGCCTTATTCAGGGTAGCTTTTCTGGTCATGATTTTTGGACCTTTTAGGATCAGTGAGCTAGTACCTGGGTCCTATAGGGATTCTTC